TTCATGTTTGTTTTTTTTTACTTTTATTAGTTCTATACAGAGGCGTCGCTAGGCACTCGCACCATGCCCCGATTCTATTTGACAGTACCCCGAATCTCCAGTTGGTGCCTTGAAAAATCAGAATAAAAAAAACATGATCGATATCATACTGAAACACCGAAACTTCTCGCGCCTGTGGGCCCGAGCCCTTTATCTATTAAACGCCTATTGCGATACCTCTGGTTCAATAGTTTCTAGTATCTTTTTTTTTCTATTAAAATCTTCTTTAGACTACCTAAAGTTCATAGTTCAGCGACTAAACTAACCCCGACTTCTCTTTGATCGGACGAAATTCCATTGATACGGGTAGTGAGTCCAGTCCTTGATATGGCACCCTAACAGGGTTCGAACCCATGTTCAACGTGGGGAAAAAATGAAAGTAGAAACTAAACCATTGGATAAAACTACTAATACGCTTGCTAGTACCACAGTTACTAGGCTAAAACTCGGGTCGTGGCGTGCTGTAGAATCGTTATTGCACATCAGTTTAAGAACGAAACAATAGTAGAGAGGAAAAATCACTACATGCAAAAAATTGTTACTGTCTAGAATTATTAAACATACTAAACTCAGTAATCTCCGTATGTATTAAAATAGACATATACCAAAAATATAAACATCAAACTTACTACAGATATTCATCATTAAATCAAAATATATATTTATATACAAGGTTTTATTGTGGGAAGCATAATTAACTAAAAACGTGGACCGACCATGGCCCAGTGATTGGTTAACTTGTCCGAGTGTGAATTTACGGGTCCAGTGTTCGCATTCCGTTACCACAAATAATAATAATCCCGCTCTGCACTATGGAGCTGTGTGCGTGTTATAAGGGTAACGGTCAAATCCCACTATTAGGGACGGCTAGAGCAGATAGCCCTTGAGTAAACCTTTGTGCGAATAAACAAAAACAAACAAAACAAAAAAAACTATAAATAATGACTCACCAAAGTCGCTATATTATCTTACTAAGTACAAATTGAAATATAGAACATAGGAAAATATTGGACATATTTAGCTCATTAAATAAAACAACAATCATAAGATTTAAACTTATATTACAAAAAATATTTCTATGAATGTCTATAAAAATGTATTATAACCATCAAGAGGTTATAGAGTAAATGTTATACAAACCATTTACAATGATATACAATTAGCGGATTGAAAATCCACCTATATAAAACTGTTAACTAATAACCAAACCGATTACAATGATATACAACCAACGGATTGAAAATCTGCCTATAAGAAAATGTTAACTAATAAACAAACAAATTACAATGATATACAACCAGCAGATTGAAAATCTACCTATAAAAAACTGTTAACTAATAACCAAACCGATTACAATGATATACAACCAGTGGATTGGAAATCTAACTATATAAAACTGTTAACTAATAACCAAACCGATTACAATGATATACAACCAGCGGATTGGAAATCTAACTATATAAAACTGTTAACTAATAACCAAACCGATTACAATGATATACAACCAGTGGATTGGAAATCTAACTATATAAAACTGTTAACTAATAACCAAACCGATTACAATGATATACAACCAGTGGATTGGAAATCTAACTATATAAAACTGTTAACTAATAACCAAACCGATTACAGTGATATACAACCAACGGATTGAAAATCTACCTATTTTAAAATGTTAACTGATAAATAAACCAATTACATGATTGACATACGTTATATACAAAGTACATTACTATAAAATTTAAACTCCCTGTATACAAAAATCAAGAGAACGATATAACAAAAAAAAAAAATAACTACTTGAAACTATTTATAGTTCTATTGCAGAGGGCTGATTGTGCCATGTTCCACAATCTAACACTATCAGAGGGCTGTATGCGCCATATTTCACAATCTAGCACTACAAGTCTTCAAGCTTATCTCTAGCCATTTTAATAAGTTCCCTCACACGTGTCAGTCCAATAATAATACTAAGCATATTACATACAACAATCAGCTAAAAGTTAAAATATTGGTGATGTGACACAAAATACGGACAATAACGTATAATAATGATACACAAAAAGATAAAAATGTTACTGTATGATTTGTTTGTTTGTTTGAAGTTAAGCATAGAACTACACAATGGGCTATCTGTGCTCTGCCCACCACGGGTATCGAAACCCAGTTTCTAGCGTTTTAAGTCCGCAGACATACCGCTGTGCCACTGGGGGCGTTACTATATGAACTCAACAATATATTCAACAATAAAGATAATAATTTATACAACATATAAACTTATAGATATTATACAAGAATATTCAGCAGACTTGAAATGTATAGATAACAAAGAAAGGCGAAAATAAGTGTTCACTGCAAATATTTACTAATTATCATATATTGTTGTTATGGATACAGTAATAGATAACCGTTGATCCCTTGTAACAGACACTGAACTAAAAGCATCTGTTTTTTTTTACTGGTCACATCCTTGGAGTGCTTGTCAAAGCAATAAGTCTGTCCCACAAGAACTTGTAAATATACCTGAAATTTTTGGAAACCTACAAAATTGTTTGTATGTGTCATAATTCTCGCACAGAATTATCTACGCATAATTGTTTATAATTTTGAAACAGAAAGAAAGCAGCAAGTTAACACCAACCACCAGCAACTGTGGAACTACTCTTGTTTGGCGGATTTGACTGTCACTTTTATAGCGCCCCTACGATCCCATAGTGCTGAGCTCGTTTTTTTATCAAAACAAACGCAAAAGTTATTTGAAACTGGTATTTTCTTGTAAAATTATTATTTATATTTAGGCTTAGGGAGCAAAAATCTCCAGTAACGATTCAAAACGTTTAGAAATATTTAATCATACTTTCTGTAACACTTTCAAAAACAAAATTATAAATATATATGCATCTGTGTTGCAGAATAACATGTGGAACAGGACATAAACACATTCCATCAAAGATTAATGTTTCTTTTGATATCATGAAAACCTTAATATATTTTTAAAACCTCTAAAGAATTATAACTTTTCCAATTCACGTGGGAGAAAGCTGAGACTGATAAATATCAAATTTTTGATATTTTTATCTTAGGTTATGCAGAAACAGCCAAGTACAAACTAAATGAAAACGTTACAGTAAGCAGACTTTACCAGAGGAATGTGAAGAAAACATGACTTATATAAATATAGGTTTAGCTGGATAGTTTGAAGCTTTGTAATCCGGAGGGAGAAAAAAAAAACGTAAACAGAAACAACTCTTCACCAAACTTACCTTCACATAGTGACACATAGGTAATATTTTCACATAGTGACACATAGGCAATATTTTTCCATAGTGACACATGTAATATTTTCACATAGTGACACATAGGCAATATTTTCACATACTGACACATAGGTGATATTTTCACATAGTGACACATAGGCAATATTTTCACATAGCGACACATAGGTAATATTTTCACAAAGTGGCACATAGATCACATTTTCTCATAGTGACACATAGGTAATATTTTCACATAGTAACACATAGGTAATATTTTCTATCATTAACCTAGTGGGGCTGATGGCAACAAACACTGCAGTTCTGGATTAAACCTTATTTTTTATCTAATTAAGTATGGATCAGATCTGCAGCTCTCATTTGATCGAATATGGATCACAATTGCAATACTCACCCATTCATGTGGGGATCATAACAAATCAGTTCTTTATATTATCAAGTACGGATTAAAACTGCGGTTCTTTATGTGACTAGATGTGCGTTAAAACAGTTCTTAACTGGTCAGATATGGATCTAAACTGCCGGTCTTAACTGATCAGGTATGGTTCTAAATCAACGGTCTTAGTTGATCAGGTATGGATCTAAACTGCCGGTCTTAACTAATTAGGTATGGATCTAAACTAACAGTCTTAACTGGTCAGATATAGATCTAAATTACCAGTTTTAACTGATCAGGTATGGATCTAAATTAGCGGTCTTAGCTGATAAGGTATGGATCTAAACTGCTGGTCTTAACTGATCAGGTATGGATCTAAACTACCGGTCTTAGCTGATCAGGTATGGATCTAAACTAACAGTCTTAACTGATCAGATATGGATCTAAACTACCGGTCTTAGCTGATCAGGTATGGGTCTAAACTGCCGGTCTTAACTGATCAGGTATAGATCTAAATTAGCGGTCTTAGCTGATCAGATATGGATCTAAACTTCCGGTCTTAGCTGATCAGGTATGGATCCAAACAGCCGGTCTTAACTGATCAGGTATGGATCCAAACAGCCGGTCTTAACTGATCAGGTATGGAACTAAACTGATGTTCTATACGCTTTTCTTACCTGATGAGATGTCAAGAATGAATACTAAGGTGTTGTGTGTGTATCCAAAACTACATCAAGCCGACGTCCGCACCCGAAGTTATATGTAACTCTGTTTTGCTTAACATTTGATATCATATAGTTGTGAGGGTTTTGTGTATAGTTGTTGACATACAGTAGTGAGGATTTTGTAATAGCTTTTGACATATATCTGTGAGGGTATTGTCATACATTTGTGAGAATTTTCCCATATAGTTGTTGACGTGTAATTATGAGGGTTTTACCATATTGTTATTGACACATAGCTGTGAGGATTTTGCCACCTAAAGGGAACTGATATGATTACAGAACATAAGTTGGATGATAATAAGCGTTATTAGTTGCATTGTTTCTCACGTCAATGATCATTACTTGTATATGAAATAGCAGTATTTACAGACTTTCCACCTTCCTCCCTTATAAGTATTTGTAATCAACATTCCTCGCACAAGTTACTGATTTGCAGCACTTTCGTTGCGTCGCCCTGCTAACGGATGGTTAATTATGAAATAAGTTCATTGGCTGTTTAGCTAGTAGGCGTGCTCGGTTCAGCCGCTGGGTCTGCAATTCGTGGTTGGTTAACAGATAAAATAATAACGTTTACTCTGGTACGTCACGCCAAGATTCGCACTCTGGACACAGACAAGTTATTCCATATTAACGCCTCTTTCGCGGTGCGTTTTGACGAACTTATTGTGTTATTTTACTTCTCACTTGATGTGTAACAGCGCGTGTAGCCATTAGCGGGTTGAGACAAGTGGCCACGCTCAGCGAGAATGGACCATATTGTGGAAACTGGACCAGCCTTTGACACTCAGTCATGATCGTGAATATGTCCGAAACGGAAGAAACATCTTTGTCAGCCATGACTCCGAAACATTCAGAGGACACAAACTATACGTCAAAACGGACTTTTACTGCCGGTGACAGCGGCTCGCACGATCGCGAGGACTTGGCTAGCCAGGTACAACCCACGGACTTACGTACAACGCGTATCCGCGAAACTCACGTGCTCCACGCTCCAACCTCTTTCCTCATAAGAAATCTAATCGAAAGTGGTGATAATGAATTTAAAGAAAGGAATTCGTCCAGGTGTTCTGATTCTTCTTACTCTGCAAGAGACAGCGAACAACAGGAAGACCAGTCGGACAATGAACGAATCACGTCCAAGGAAAAGGATCTCACAGATGGTGAAGGTATACCTATCTGCTCATTATCTTACTACAGCTTCTCAGAAAAAGTATTTCTTTATACAAATATATTCTATTACTCAGACTAAGCTAAACTGTATCGTATAACAATGCGGTTAGCCTTAATGGTGTCTCATTACAGTAAATAAGAAACGATTCCTTAATCATTCAGATCTGAGGTGAGATTTTACTGTACACTAAAAATACGTTATATACGAGAGCTTTATTCTCAAGAGAATTACAGGTGAATTTGTAGCTTTGGTATAAACTATACCTGTCCAGAACAGTTACATTGTTATATAGATAACCACCAGCCTCGCTTCACAGGTATGGATATGTGTTCAGGTGGTACGGTTTGTTACTCTTAGTACCTGTATAGGTGCTGTATTATAGTTCTATATAAACTCATGTAACAAGCAGGTTTGTTCCACAGGTGTGGATATGTGTTCAGGTGGTACTGTTTGTTACTGTTAGTACCTGTATAGGTGCTGTATTATAGTTCTATATAAACTCAGGTAACAAGCAGGTTTGTTCCACAGGTGTGGATGTGTGTTCAGGTGGTACTGTTTGTTACTGTTAGTACCTGTATAGGTGCTGTATTATAGTTCTATTTAAACTCAGGTAACAAGCAAGTTGTTCCACAAGTACGTGTGTGTGTGTTAAGGTGGTACAGTCTGTTACTGTTAGTACCTGTACAGGTGCTGTATTATAGTTCTATATAAACTCAGGTAACTAACAAGTTGTTTCACAAGTATGTGTGTGTGTTCAGGTGGTACTGTTTGTTACTATTAGTACCTGTATAGGTACTGTATTATAGTTCTATTTAAACTCAGGTAACAAGCAAGTTGTTCCACAAGTATGTGTGTGTGTTCAGGTGGTACTGTTTGTTACTGTTAGTACCTGTATAGGTGCTGTATTATAGTTCTATATAAACTCAGGTAACAAGCAGGTTTGCTCCACAGGTGTGGATGTGTGTTAAGGGGGTACAGTTTGTTACTATTAGTACCTGTATAGGTACTGTATTATAGTTCTATTTAAACTCAGGTAACAAGCAAGCTGTTCCACAAGTATGTGTGTGTGTGTTCAGGTGGTACGGTTTGTTACTGTTAGTACCTGTATATGTACTGTATTATAGTTTTATATAAACTCAGGTAACAAGCAGGTTTGTTCCACAGGTGTGGATGTGTGTTCAGGTCGTACTGTTTGTTACTATTAGTACCTGTATAGGTACTGTATTATAGTTCTATTTAAACTCAAGTAACAAGCAAGTTGTTCCACAAGTATATGTGTGTTTAAGAATAAGCGTGAGAACACGCGAGGTTATGAAGGTGTAAAAATGAAATTCATTACAATTTCGTATAATTTGAAATAATAACTCAAGTAATTAAACTAAATTTTGAACAAGCTCAGAAGATAAGGCAAGTTTGATCTTTGAAGGCCCATATCAGATAATAACAACATTATCTCGAATCCCTAATTCCATTCCCAGCTCTACTTATTTTATGGGAAAGTGTTATTAGCTTCAAAAGCTAATTTGTTGTTTGTTCTTTCTTTTCTTTCTTTCTTTCTTTTTTTAAGAAAGGAAACAAGCTAGAAGTTAAAAACATTAGCCACGGAATTTTCCTCGTGATTATTAACCCTAGAAGTACCATGGGGTCTATAGGCTTTTTAAACACATCTTAAATGTTCTTTACGTAACAAATTCTTTTATGACTTTGTTGGTCACAGAGTCTGTAAGGGAATGAGTCACATACAGAAATGTAAACAAAAATACTGTCAATATTCCAGTTAGTGTCCTATGTATTTTTCAACCCCTTTTCATCAGTTCTTTACATTGAGTATTCTGACAGGCAAAAATATAGAATTACTCAATACGATGCAATTATGTGAACCATGCCGGTAACGAACGGTATAAAAACAAATCATTAATGTTAGACTAATAAACATAGATGTAATGATGCCATTTAGCTTAACCATCTGTTAACAAGAGCAAAATAGGCATACGGAAGTGAATTATTCTATACTGATATTCTCACTAGATTAAACAATAAAAAGCCTTATAAAAAAAAAGCTTTTTTGTCAGCACAGCTATACAATTATTTAACTGTGTACCTACGCATTTAGATAGTCTATTATTCTACCAATAATTATTTGCGTTTCTCAAAACTTTGCTTGATTCTACACTTGACATTATTTGTTACTGCTTTTTAGCCGCGGCAAAGCGGCTCATAGAACCGCTCCGAGTTTGTTTGTTGTTGTTTTTTTTTAAAAGTACAACATTTTAGCTCATAGCTCCGTCATTTCTTGACCAATTTGAGATATAATTACAATTTCGGACTCAGGAGGTCAAACCCTTTCGATTGATGTGTTTGATCACGCCCAAAATCTCATAGGTTAATTTACTCTAATCCTGCTTTAAAAATTTCTATTTGGGGGCTGGTAGAGATCCTGATGAGTAATAAAATTGAATCGAGTATACGCACACCCCACGCTTGGTATTGCTGGCGCACAAAAATATATGTAATAAAAAGGAAAATAAAAAGGTTTTATAGATGAATATACTCTAACCCTAAAAGAATTTCAAATGCCGCGGCTACTGGGGAACCCCTCTTGCTTAATTATAAAGTATGACTTTTAAACCACAATCTTAAACTCGAATGTTTAAGTACTATTTGCAGGGGTTGGTGTATGAAATACAATCGAATCATTTTTTCATATATACAGCGAGGCCTTTTTAAGTAGCCAGGTGCACTGTGTTTAATTCTCTTATGATATAAATAATTGGCCTAATATTTATAGTTATTGTTTCAGTTATTACAAAAAATTATAATAACAAAACCACTTTCTACCAACCACACATCAGCTACCTGGCGCTTGCGCGATTATTATTTGTTCTTAATTTTGTTGGTAAATGACATCGATAAAATACTGATGTCAGAAAAACACGTAAGTTCAAGAAGTCTGAATATAAAATCCTGTAATACCGATCCTTTTGCTCGTCATAGATTTCAGGTTCAATACCTTTGTTTATTTAGTTTTATTAAGATACTAGAAACCCGATTAATTCAGTCGTTATATTCCACCTATATTCAACTACTAATCAGCTCCCCCCCCCCCGTGGCACAGCGGCATGTCTTCGGACTTACAACGCTAGAAACCGGGTGGGCAAAACACAGATTGCCCATTGTGCAGCTTAATGTTTAACTTCAAACAAACAAGTTAACGTAAATGAAAAGTTTAGCGGCAATAAGAGATAAGTAATGTTGAGTGGAGGACCCTGATTGGCTGTGCATCATGTCATCGATTATATATATGAGATACTTTCCATTTTCCAAGCCTCTATTCAATAGGGAGCAGTGAATCTCTGATTGGAAGACTGGTTCTCGCTCATTATTCGATGGTTCAGTGTCTTACCGCAATTAAGCATTCCGAAGATGCATACACAAATCACACAAGTAGTGCTATAGTTGTAGAAAAATGCCAGCAATAAAAGTTACTCGGGAAAAGGGTGAGGGAGATTCAATTCAAAACAATTTTAGGAATAACTGTCCCTAATTTTACAACTGATGTACTAGGAGGAAGGCAACAAAATTTTGATGTACCCTCATCTGATTGAATGATGTGATTTGGGGGTAACAATCTCCGAATAATGAACTCTCGTATACATGGTCCTACCATGGTTTTTACTAGGACACACTGGACCTACGAGAAGAATTGTAAATTATGGTAATATAAATTGTTGTGGTCCTGTAGAAGGTTATCAATATGAATCTTTCCTATATCTGTTATATATACACCCACATTAACCGCGGTAATCTACCGGGATTATAACGCTAAAAATCGGGGCTGATCCTTGTGGTGGGCATAGCAAAAAAGTGCATATAGCTCATTGTGCACCTTTGCGCTTAACATAAAAACATTATAAAATATTGTAGTATAACATAATAATTACAAAATAATCTCGTGTAAACAAAGATTGTTATTTGTGAAGTAATATCTGTTAGATTCATAATATTACGTTAAGTAGTACTATATAGGCTTAGGCCAATAATTGTTCTTTAGATTGTTTTGAAGCATTCGGTAAAAGATGGAATACGTGAATGTATTCTAACACGTAATACGAACGATCTTGTACAAGAACCATGAATTATACTCCCAATAAAATTTGTTCCGCTAAGCGGCGCTCAAGTGTAACCGCAATACAAAGTCAGGGACATTTCTATATATAATGTATACATTTTAAACCAAAAATATATATATATATACAGATATTAAAAATACTGTTAACGCTTAACTTTGCTAGGGGTGAGCTAACTTTCCTTGGTAGACGACATGGGATTCAGACAAATGTACGTTATACATAAAGTGTCATTTAACTTGAATGAAACAATATTTTATAACACGCAAAACAAAAGGTTTGATGATAACACTTGTAGAAAAAAAATAGTGTAGTAGCAACAATGAAATATTTTTGTTAGAAATATGGGGTATTCTACGTTAATACTATAAAAAAGGGGGATTAATCTGGTAATAACAATGACACATTTTGAAATTATACACTATTTATTGTTAGAAATATGGGGTATTGTTGTAAGCTATATTTTCCGTGTTTTGATCCGGATGCTAATTAGAAGGTAGATGACGTTAAGCCCAAGTAAGTTTGTGGGAGTAAACCTAGAAAGTTCTAAATTTGAAGTCAATAAAATCTAGTAAACTCGGTGAATATCGAGAGACGAGAATCAGTGAAGGATTTAGTCAATGTGTTTTGCTATAACCAGCAGAAATCAGTGAAGCATTTGGATCAGGGTTAGTTACCATATATATTCAGTTACTCCATCGACTAGCCGTGAAGTTGTACAAATAAAATAATTTTTTTCATATCCGTCGTAGTGTTTCCGTTTGAGCGTCATTTATAAAGTTACTTAGGCCGACAACTTAATCTTTGTTACAATTGTGTACAACTGTAAGTAGCTTTTAAAAAGGTTAAGGAAGAAATTAATTTGTTA